TAAGTTTATTCCTAGGTAGCTTAATTTTTTTGGTGTGATGGTAAATGGGATTGTTTTTTTAGTCTCTCTTTCTGTAAGTTCATTATTGGTGTATAGAAATGCCATAGATTTCTTGGCATTAATTTTGTATCCTGCTACATTGTCAAAATCATTTATTAAGTCTAATAGTTTTTTGATGGAGTCTTTAGGGTTTTTTATGTACAATATCATGTCATCTGCAAATAAGGACAGTTTTACTTCTTCATTTCCAATTTGGCTGCTTTTTATTTCTTCTTCTTGTCTAATCGCAGTGGCTAATACTACCAGTACTATGTCGAACAGGAGTGGTGAGAGTGGGCATCCCTGTCTTGTTCCTGTTCTTAGGAAAATGGTGTTAGTTTTTGCCCATTGAGTATGATGTTGGCTGTGAGTTTGTCATATATGGCTTTTATTATGTTGAGATATGATCCTTCTATTCCAACTTTGCTGAGATTTTTTTTAATCAAAAATGGGTGTTGGATATTGTCAAATGCTTTTTCTGCATCAATTGATATGACTATGTGTTTTTTTTCTCAATTTGTTTATGTGATGTATCACGTTTATTGATTTGCGGATATTGTACCATCCTTGCATCCCTGGGATAAATCCTACTTGGTCATGGTGTATGATCTTTCTGATGTACTGCTGGATCCAATTTGCTAGGATTTTGGCAACTATGTTCATGAGGAATATTGGCCTGTAATTCTCTTTCATTGTGTAGTCTTTATCTGATTTTGGTATTAGGGGTGATGCTGGCTTGATAGAATGAGCTTGGAAGTGTTCCTTCCTCTTGAATTTTTTGGAATAGTCTGAGGAGGATAGGTTTTAGTTCTTACTTGAATGTTTGGTAAAACTCCCCTGTGAAGCCGTCTGACCCTGGGCTTTTGTTTGCTGGAAGCTTTTTGATTACTGCTTCAATTTCTTCCATAGTTTTTGGCCTATTGAGATTTTTAGATTCTTCCTGATTAAGTTTTGGAAGGTTGTATTTTTCAAGGAATATGTCCATTTCCTCCAGGTTGTCTAGTTTGTTGGAGTAGAGTTGTTCATAGCATTTTTTAACAATCCTTTGTATTTCTGTTGTTATTTCTCCTCTTTCATTTCTGATTTTGTTTATTTGGGTCCTCTCTCTTTGTTTCTTGGTGAACCTGGCTAGAGGTTCATCAATCTTGTTTATCCTTTCAAAGAACCAACTCTTGGTTTTGTTGATCTTTTGTATTGTTTTTTTGTTCTGTCATTTATCTCTGCTCTGATCTTTATTATTTCCATCCTTCTGCTTACACTGGGCTTTTCTTGTTGCTCTCTTTCTAACTCTTTGAGTAGTAGGGTTACATAATTTATTATCATTGTTTCTTGGTTTTGAAGTAGGCTTGTAGAGCTATGAACTTCCCTCTCAATACAGCTTTCGCTGTGTCCCATAGGTTTTGGATTGTTGTGTTTTTATTGTCATTTGTTGCCATGATGTTTTTTTACTTCTTCTTTGATCTCTCTGGCAACCCATTCATTGTTTAACAGCATGCTATTTAGTCTCCATGTGTTTGATTTTTTTTGGATTGTTTTTATTGTAGTTGATTTCCAGTTTTATGCCATTGTGATCTGAGAAGATGCTTGATATGATTTCTATCTTCTTGAATTTGAATAGACTTTGACTGTGGCCCAGTATATGGTCTATCTTTGAAAATGACCCATGTGCACTTGAGAAGAATGTATATTCTGTGGCTTTTGGGGTGAAATGTTCTGAAGATGTAAATTAATTCCATCTCATCTAGAGAGTCATTTAGGATTGATGTTTCTTTGCTGATTTTTTGTTTAGAGGATTTGTCCAATGGTGATAGTGGGGTATTAAAGTCCCCTAGTATGATTGTATTGCTGTCAATCTTTCCCTTGATCTCTTCCAGAAGTTTTCTTATGTATTTGGGTGCTCATATATTGCGTGCGTATATGTTTACCAGAGTTATTTCTTCTTGTTGGATTGCTCCCTTTAGTATTATGAAGTGGCCTTCCTTGTCTCTTTTTATGTCCTTCACTTTGAGATCTAATTTGTCAGATATAAGTATTTCTACCCCAGCTTTTTTTTCATTTCCATTCGCCCGAAAAACCTTTTTCCATCCCTTCACCATCAGTCTCTGTGTCTTTTTTTTCTTAGGTGGGTTTCCTGTAGACAGCAGATATATGGGTCATGTTTTCTTATCCACTCAGTTACCCTATGTCTTTTGATTGGGGCATTTAATCCATTTACATTTAAAGTTATTATTGATAGATACTTGTTTGTCGCCATTTTTATTCTTTACCCCTGTGTTCCTTCTTCGTTTCCTATTTTTTCCTTTTACAGCAGACCCTTTACCATTTCTTGCATTGCTGGTTTTGTGGTAATAACTCCCTTAGTTCTTTTTTTGTCTGTGAAGCTCCTTATTTCACCCTCAATTTTGATTGATAGCCTTGCTGGGTACAGTATTCTTGGATTCAGACCCTTCCTTTGCATGACTTTGTATATTTCATTCTATTCCCTTCTTGCCTGATGTGTTTCTGTTGAGAAATCAGTCACTAGTCTGATGGGGGATCCTTTTGTAGGTAACTTTCTGTCTCTCTCTGGCCACTTTTAAGATTCTTACTTTGTTGTTGGTGTTTGCCAATTTAATTATAATGTGCCTTGGCATCTGTCTTTTGGGGTTCATTTTGTTTGGGACTCTGTGAGCTTCTTGGATTTGTGTGAGTTTTTTCTTCCCTATATCAGGGAAGTTTTCTGTCATTGTTTTTTCAAACAGGTTTTCTATTCCTTGCTCAGTTTCCTCTCCTTCTGGTACCCCTATTATGCGGATGTTGTTTCGTTTCATGTTGTCCCAAAGTTCTCTTAGGCTCTCCTCCTGCTTTTTAATTTTTTTTCCTAGAAGCTGCTCTGCTTGGGTATTTTTTCCTACCTTGTTTTCTAGCTCACTGATGCTGTCCTCTGCTTCTTCTAGTCTACTATTGATGCTTTCTATTGAGTTCTTAATAGCAGTGATGTCATTTTTCATTTCTTCTTGGTTCTTCTTCATTTCCTATTGGTTCTTACACATATTGTTGAAATTGTCTTCCATTCTTTTCATCCACCTTATGACCATTTCTCTGAATTCTTCCTCTGACAGGTTGCTTGCCTCCATTGCCTCCATTTCGTTTACTTCCTTTTCTGGTGATGCCTGTTTTTCTTTCATATGAGGGCTGTTTCTTTGTCTCCCCATGATCTCTCTTCTCCAGGTGTTTGGTTATGTAGTTCTCTCTCTGCTGCTTTGATTTAAAGGCACAAAATACAACACCACAAGGCACAATGCACAAGGCAATGAACACACACGTATTCATGATACTAATAACCCCAAATAAAGGTGACCACCAGAACAAAGAGAATTAAGGCATAAGGAAGAAAAGAAGAGAAAAAGAAAAAAGAGAAAAAGAAAAAAAAGGAGTGCAAAAATCAAATTGGGAATAGAAAAAAAAGTAAGAGAGAAAAGAAAGAGAATGAAATAGAAGAGGGGAAGAAACTATTTATATGGGGAGAAAACTCCAATAGAACAGCCATTAATCCCAACAAATTCCAGCAACAGATACCTAGAGTTGAATGCAAAGTACAAACAACAACTAATATCATGCGAGGTGAGGGAAAACAGAAGCAAAGAAATAACCGAGGGGAAAAAAAAACAACAAAAAATAAAAAGAAAATGCGAAACAATCTCAGAAACAAGCATAAAAAATACCAATATAATCAACAATCAAGCAAACAACAACAAAACGGCAGAGAGAAAAAAATTTGGATAGTGAAGAAAGAGAAGAGAGATGTGTATATGGACTTAGAGCAGGGGATTGGAAATTAGATATATAAGTAGGGTGAAATTTTAACAGGGGGTAAAAAGAAGGAATAGGGAAAATCTAAAGCAGGAATAGGGTAAGAGAAACTGGACAACAAAAGGGGAAAAGTGAGGAAGAGAGTTTTGGCATAAAGGTAAAGTTGAGATAGAGTAAAATGATGCTAAAGGAAAGAGGAAAATAGAATGTAGAACACTAATCCCAAAATAAAATAAAGAGAAAATAAAATGACACTTTAAAAAAAGGTAAAATGGTAGTAGTACTAATATTGTTTAAAAATAAAAATGTAGTAATTAAAAAGGTAAAGTCAGGTGATGAAAAAAGAAAAAAATTAGTTTCTTAAGTAAAAGGTGAAAAAAATAAAAATGTGTAGCAGTGAAGGTCCTTTAATTCTTCTACTCTATTGTTTGGCATGCCTTAGTCCTGTCATGTATTCAGGAGAGTGTTGAAGCTCCCTGCGATACCCTGTTCCTCCGTGTTGTAAACCACGGTCCTGATTTTAAAGCAGGCAGTATTTCTTTGTTTCCCAGATTGCCTTTATTTGTGTTTACAGAGGAGTCAGTTTGTGGTTCAGCCCCTGAGTGGCAGTGTTTCTGGATTGACCTCCAAGGCTATAAGTCCTTTCTAGCCAGTATTTAGGTTTTGTTTTCCCTATCGCACTTAATACTGGTTTGGGAGAGTCGACTGCTCCAGAGCTGGTTCCTTGATCGTTACTCTCTGCTCTGATTCCCAGGTTCCACAAAAATAACTTTCCCCTGCAGTCTCTGTGAGTCACCCCAATTGGGCGATCCTATGTATTGGGTTTAATAATCAAACACAAAGATTTAACGAGGAAAAAAAAAAGAGCCTGAGTAGGTGCGCTAGCTCCCAACCCTCCACCGTCTAGCTCTGTGCGCAATTCTCCCAAAGTCTCTTCCGCACGTCTTCTCTCCCCTGGCACTAAGCAGCCGGCACACTGGCAAAATCCGAGGCTGCCTTTCTGCACCCAGTCCAGCTATGGGCTGATTTTTAGAGTTCCCTTCTGCCAGCAGCCCTGCGGGTCCCCTTCCACGCTCGCAGATCACGCTGGCCCCAACGGCTGCAGACTTTGTGTGGCGCAGACTCCCCCCGTGCACATTCCTCTCTCCAACCTGAATTACAAACCGCACCTTTAGGTGAAACCTGACCTTTCCATGAGGAGGAGCAGGGCTCGTCTGAGTCCTCGTATTCGCGCTGCTTGAGATCCGGTGTTCCTGGGTTCATAGCTAGTCCCTGGGTGCCGTGGTTGCAGGGTCTCTGGATGTATAAGCTTCCTATATCAGCCACTCAAGATGGCGCAGTCTCCTCGGCTGAGCTGGCTGCTCTGGGAGAGATTTCAGCAGCAGTGGAGGCTGCCCGGTTAGGGGAGCCCGATCCGGCAGTCTCCAACAGTCCTCTGCCTTTCCCAGCTGCAAATTGTCTCCCAGCTGAATCTCCTCTGCCAATTCAGGCTGGATGTTACTCATTTCAGCTGCTCACCCTATCTGCTCCGGTACAAGGCACAGGGCACATCCGTCTATACTGCCGCCATTTTGTCTCCTCTCGGTGGGGGGAAATATTAACCAAAGAACTTACATGCATATATGCATAACCCATGTACACAGACAACAGTGTGGTGAAGGCCGGTGGGGTGGAACCAGGTGGAATAGGGCAATGGGGGGAAAATGGAGGACATCTGTAATATTCTCAACAATAAATAGAAGTAAAAGCAAAAAGAAGATAATATTAGCTGTGTACTTCAGATTTTCACAATTGCTTTGATAGCTCAATTTTTCTGAAGCTTAATTTTTTAATAAAAGTAGCCTCAGCTTTTTATATTACACAGAAAATGATAGTCTTCTCACTGAAATCTACTCTCTCTGATTCTCTGATGCACACACAGACCCCCTTAATACCAATTATCATCAAGCCGTGGCCAGTGTGGCTCAGTTGGTTGAGTGTTGTCCTGTGCACGGAAAGGATGCCAGTTGTATTCCTAGTCTGGGCAAATAACTAGGTTGTGGTTCAATTCCTGGTTGGGATATGTGTGAGAGAGAGCCAATCGATGTTTCTCTCTCTCTCTATCCCTCTCTCTAAAGTCAATAAAAACATTTAAAAAAATAACTACCAAAGTACTCACTTCTTAACAACTTAGACATTTCCAACTTCTGGCACAGCTCCTCAGCAAGCTCAATATTTTTTGAAGGCCTGTGGTCCACATCTGTATTTCTTTCTTATGTAGCTTATCCATCACATCATGGCTTTTATCCTCTGTTGTTGAGGCAGAAGTGTCCAAGAATTCAGAGCCTTGGGAAAGGGAAATTACAACAGAGTTGCATGAGCCAAAGGTAAACCTTCCTCTGAAATACCTTTTACCCATTTAAAGTTCAATACTGTAGTCAGGGCAGCAAGAGATTTGGATCTCAAAGGTTGATGGTTCATTTCAATAATTTTGCAAACCTAGATACTGACACTCAGTATCTTCCACAGGCCTAAGAGAACTTATGTTATAACTATAGAAATGGTTGAGTATAAAAGAACAGTAATTGAATTATATACATTTTTGAAAAAAGATAAACACACAGGAGCAGCGAATTTAAGAACTGCTTTATCTAGATTTTCATTAAGTAGCAGAATGTTTCCAGATAGATCCTATGTAAAATTTGCAGATTAGTTATGACTATTTCTTATTGTTGATCTTCTATGCAAAACAAAATAATATCTAGACTTAAAGGTACACCATTCATAATGAATATTAATTTCTTAATTACTTGCATTAAATTTTATCTGTAGGAGAATTTTCTATCCTTTGGTTCCTTCATGGTCCAATTAACTAAAAAGTCACACACACAGTTTACAAAGTTGACAGAAATGAGAAGAACACTTAGATAAGACTAGCTTTGAACATTTTAGCCATTTCCTTCTAAATTACTCCAAGATAAATTAATGAACGATCTTTTAGGAAATTTTAAAATGCTAAATCATTAACTGATAACCAATTACCTTTTCCTATTTTGAAATGGTTCAAAACACGTTTGCAATCAAAGAGTCAGAGCATCCAATCATGGTCCAGGAGTAAAATATGAACTAACAAAGTTTTGTGGAGTTTTTTTAATTCTTTATTGCTTAAAGTATTAAATAAGTCTCCTTTTAAGCTCACTGACCTCTCCCCAGCCACTCCCACCCCCAGCACATGCCCTCACCCCCTGACTGTCAGTGTCCATGGGTTAGGCATATATGCATGTTACAAGTCCTTTCGTTGATCTCTTACCCCCCCCCCCCCCCCGAGCCCCCCCACCCCCCCACTCCTGCCTTCCCTCTGAGGTTGGATGGTCTGTTTGATGCTTCTATGCCTCTGGATCTATTTTTGTTCACCAGCTTATGTTGGTCATTACATTCCACAAATGAGTGAGATCATGTGATATTTACCTTTCTCTGACTGGCTTATTTTGGTTAGCATAATGCTCTCCAGGTCAATCCATGCTGTTGCATATGGTAAGAGTTCCTTCTTTTTTTTTTTTACAGCAGCATAGTATTCCATTGTGTAGATGTACCACAGTTTTTTAATCCACTCATCTGCTGATGGGTACTTAGGCTGTTTCCAAATCTTAGCTATGGTTAATTGTGCTGCTATGAACATAGGGGTGCATATATCCTTTCTGATTGGTGTTTCTGATTTCTTGTGATATATTCCTAGAAGTGGGATTACTGGTTCAAATGGGAGCTCCATTTTTAATTTTTTGAGGAAACTCCATACTGTTTTCCACAGTGGCTACATCAGTCTGCTTTCCCACCAGCAATGCACGAGGGTTCCTTGTTCCCCACATCCTCTCCAATACTTGTCATTTGTTGATGATAGCCATTCTGATAGGTGTGAGATGGTATCTCATTATGGTTTTGACTTCCATCTCTCAGATGGTTAGTGACTATGAGCATCATTTTATATGCCTCTTGGCCTTCCGTATGTCCTCTTTCAAAAGTGTTTATTTAGGTCCTTTGTCCATTTTTGATTGGTTTGTTTATCTTTCTTTTGTTAAGTTGTATGAGTTCCCTATAAATTTTGGAGATTAAACCCTTATGGGATGTAACATTAGTAAATATGTTCTCCCATGCAGTAGGCTCTCTTGTTTTGTTGATGGTTTCTTTTGCTGTGCAGAACCTTTTTATGTTGATGTAATACCATTTGTTTATTTTCTCCTTAGTTTCCATTGCCTTAGGCACTGTATCGGTAAAGATATTGCTATGCCATATGTCTGCTATTTTCCTGCCTATGGATTCTTCTAAGATTTTTATGATTTCCTGTCTTACATTTAAGTCCTTTATCTATTTTTTCTTTTAAGTTTTTATTATTTAAATACACCATACTACAGCAAATGTCTCTGAAAATATCACAAATAATAGATTTTTTTCTTCATTCAGCAAATTAGAAGTAGGGGGAAATTTCTACACAGTAGCTGCTATGAGCCTGTTTTTTTTCAATATTTTTTTTCCATTTTTAGTTCTTTTTCTTCACCATGGGAGTAGCAACATTAGGATGAAAACACTTACATGCATACATACATTGTATTTTACAGAGATACAATAAAACTGTGATAGGATATCACAAAGTCAACATCTTTTTCCTTTATCTCATGTTCACTTTTGATTGAAACACATTTCCTTACAACACTTAAATATACAAAAAGCAAATAGAATGTTGTTAAGGTAAAGCACAGGGTACAAACTCTGGCCAGTGCCCTGCTAATTGTTAATGAGGTTAGAAAGCAGATTTGAATGGTTCTTTTAATTATATGTTGGTTCTTGTGCCAGGACCAGGCAGTTTTAAGGACAGTGGCATTGTAATATTCCTTGATATCCGGTATTGTGATCCCTCCAACTTTGTCTTCCTTCTCAAGATTGCTGCTGCTATTTGGGGTCTTTTTTTTATTCCATATGAATTTTTAGAGAGTTTGTTCTAGGTCTGTGAAATAAACCACTGGTATTTTTTAAAAATATATTTTATAGATTTTTTTACAGAGAGGAAGGGAGTGGGATAGAGAGTTAGAAACATCGATGAGAGAGAGAAACATCGATCAGCTGCCTCCTGCACACTCACCACTGAGTATGTGCCTGCAACCAAGGTACATGCCCTTGACCAGAGTCGAACCTGGGATGCTTGAGTCCGCAGGCCAAAGCTCTATCCACTGAGCCAAACTGGTTAGGGCAACCACTGGTATTTTAATGGGGTTTGCATTGAACCTATAGATTGCCTATGGGTAGTATGGATATTTTAATGATGTTGATTCTACTAATCCATGAACATAGTATATTCTTCCATTTGTTTATGTCTTCCTCTATCTCTTTTTTCTATTTTTACTTTTTTATAAATTAAATCTTAATTGTTCAGATTATTACATTTGTTCCTCTTTTTCCCCCCATAACTCCCCTCCATCCAGTTCCCACCCCACCCTCCTCCCTCACTCCCCACCCACTGTCCTCATCCATAGGTGCACGATTTTTGTCCAGTCTCTTCCCGCATCTCCCACACCCCTTTCCCCCCCAAGAATAGTCAGTCCATTCCCTTTCTATGTCCCTGATTCTATTATAATCACCAGTTCATTCTGTTCATCAGATTATTTATTCACTTGATTCTTAGATTCACTTGTTGATAGATGCATATTTGTTGTCCATAATTTGTATCTTTACCTTTTTCTTCTTCTTCCTCTTCTTAAAGGATACCTTTCAGCATTTCATATAATACTGGTTTGGTGGTGATGAACTCCTTTAGCTTTTCCTTATCTGCGAAGTTCTTTATCTGACCTTCAATTCTGAATGATAGCTTTGCTGGATAAAGTAATCTTGGTTGTAGGTTCTTGGCATTCATCACTTTGAATATTTCTTGCCACTCCCTTCTGGCCTGCAAAGTTTCTGTTGAGAAATCAGCTGACAGTCGTATGGGTACTCCCTTGTAGGTAACTGATTGTTTTTCTCTTGCTGCTTTTAAGATTCTCTCTTTGTCTTTTGCTCTTGGCATTTTAATTATGATGTGTCTTGGTGTGGTCCTCTTTGGATTACTTTTGTTTGGGGTTCTCTGCACCTCCTGGACCTGTAAGTCTATTTCTTTCACCAGGTATGGGAAGTTTTCTGTCATTATTTCTTCAAATAGGTTTTCAATATCTTGCTCTCTCTCATCTTCTGGCACCCCTATAATTTTGATGTTGGTACGCTTGAAGCTGTCCCAGAGGCTCCTTACACTATCTTCGTAT